GTGTGTGTGTGTGTGTGTGTGTGTGTGTGTGTGTGTGTGTGTGTATATATATATATATATACAATCTATATAGCAGCAACAGTGTTCTTAGGCACATTACAGACAACTTCAAGGAGGTCAAATTATGGGCCTGAACTATTTGATTTAGGATCATTGTACTACATTTTACTAGACTTAATTTAGCCCCTTCCACCGACACTTAGCCCTGGTCTACACTGGGGGTGGGTGGGGGGGAAATTAATCTAAGTTACGCAACTTCAGCTACGTGAATAACACAGCTGAAGTCACAAAGAGTCCTGTGGCACCTTATAGACTAACAGATGGATTGGAGCATAAGCTTTCGTGGGTGAATACCCACTTTGTTGTCTGACGAAGTGGGTATTCACCCATGAAAGCTTATGCTCCAATAGATCTGTTAGTCTACAAGGTGCCACAGGACTCTTTGTTGCTTTTGACAGATCCAGACTAACACGGCTACCCCTCTGATACGTAGCTGAAGTCGACGTACTTAGATCGACTTGCAGTGGTGTCTTCACCGCGGTGAGTCGACTGCTGCCGCTCCCCCGTTGACTCTGCCTGCGTCTCTTGCGGCGCTGGAGTACAGGAGTCGACAGGAGAGCGCTTGGGGGTCGATTTATCGCGTCTAGACTAGACGCGATAAATCAATCCCCGCTGGATCGATCGCTGCCTGCCGATCCAGCGGTAGCATAGACATACCTTTAGGGAAAGTGACATTTCAGCATGTTGTTTGTCCTTTGACTGTCATCGACAGAATTAAGGTAGTCTCAAGAGTGGTGCACAGCAGAGACAGCTTCACTCATCATTTATCAGACACAACTGCTCAGTATTCATTCATTCTGGGTGAATTTCATCCAGAGGCAGGTAGCTTTATGCCCCACTTAAGGGATTAGTGGGGAATATGTAGTGCCTCGTGCCTCTGTCCTGGGATCAATTCCCCCTTATGGGAATAAAGAATAATGGAGATCCCAATTGAGAACAGGGACCTCACTGGACTAGACGTTGTACAAACTTACAGTAAGAGATGGTTTGTGCCTCAAATCGTTTACAATCTAAGTAGACAAGACAGACAGACAGGGAAGGAGAAAGGAAATATCATTAGCTCATTTTATACATGGGAAAATGAAGCTCAGAGAGTGAAAGTGACTTGTCCAAGGTCACACAGGAAGTTTCTGGCAGATCTGGGGAATGGTATCCTGATCTCCTAAATTTCAGCCTGGTGCCTTAACCATAAAGACATCCTTCCCTTCAGACCTGATCAGATCCCAGTCTCACACCAATTTTTTCATTTGCATATTTCCACTGGCTTCAAAGGAGTCACTCCTGATTTAAGTCGGAGAATGAGAACAGATTCAGACTCCAAATCTTCATTTGAGAAAAGAGCTTCCACATTTTGTTCCCTAACCGCCTGGTCACCAGTTCCAATTTACCTTCAGATCTTCTGGAATGAAGACTTTACGGGCTTTTTTAATCATCGGCTGTGGTTTGAGCTCTTCCTCAGAGAACTTGCGTTTACGAGGGTCAAACATCTCCTGGCCAGGAATGCTGGAGAGAGCAAGATCTGCAGGGTCAGGTTCATAACCCACGGGAACTTGGATTGTCTCAGGGTCGATGGGACTTGGCGTGTTACGATTTGTTGGCAAGATCTGACCTATAGCAATAGAAGACGGGTTCAAGATGTGTTATAAAATAAAAAGCAAATAGGCTCTTTGCATTTGGGTTTTAGAGGGTCTCAAAATACATTACAAGCAATAATTAATTAAGTATCCAAAACACATCTGAGAGGAACTCTGTTTATTAAGCATAAGAATATCCATTTTAAAGAGGGCTATATAGCCCCAGAGAGACATCTCGAGTTGGGAACATAAAATATAAGGTTCCTAAAATGTATGGACATTGAACATGTCATGTTCAATGTCCATACATTTTAGGAACCTTATATTTTATGTTCGCCTATGTTACTTAGCCAAGGTCACAGAATTAGGAATAGAACCATAGGCTCTTACTACCAGTACCCTGCTCTATGCACTTGACTAAAGTCTTCCCCACTCTTCTCAAACACATTTGTTGACGTGCCGCTTTTAAGTAAAGGGTAAATTTGATTTGGAATCAAACAATATATCATGTTTCCAGCAGCACATACAATGACTGGTGTAAAAGCTATTGAGCTTTGTTAAAATACCTCATCCATGAGCGCAAAATATGACTACAAATTCTACTTCCATCGTGAAATTAGAACTATGGCGACCGCTTAAAAATAACCTGCAAAAGGGAAAGAATATGGGTTTATGCCCTTTTTACGGTTTTATAATGTATGAAAAGGGCCTGTACCCAACAGAGGTTTTAACTTCTTGTTTTTATCTTAGTAAATAGTGATTCTCATCCTTCCCAGTGTTTGATGGCTTCTGTGAGAACCAGATAACTGCTTCTTTGCAGAGGTGGGGGGAATGCCTGAATCTTTAACAGAAAGAGTTTTTTTCCTCCCAAGTGTTTTCATGGCGTTTAATAGGTATAAAAAACCTAAAACCAAAAAAAGAGTTTTAAACAATCTGACTGAAAAAATCTTTTCCCGTTTCCACTGCTCGGGTTTCATTTCTTCAGTCCTATTTAGATTAGGGAAATTTGCACCAGCGTAGCCACACCAATGGAACTATACAGGCGTAAACTGTTAATGTGATGCATTTGTATAGAATCATAGGACTGGAAGGGACTTTGAGAGGTCTCTATCCAGTCCCCTGCTCTTTTGGAGGACTATGTATTATCTAGACCATCCCTGAGAGGTGTTTGTCTAACCTGCTCTTATAAATCTCCAATGATGGAGATTCCACAACCTCCCTAGGCAATTTATTCCAGCACTTAACTACCCTGACAATTAGGAATTTTTTCCTAATGTCCAACCTAAACCGTCCCTGCTGCCATTTAAGCCCATTGCTTCTTGACCTATCCTCAGAGGTAAATGAGAACAATTTTTCTCTCTCCTCCTTGTAACAACCTTTTATGTATTTGAAAGCTATGTCATGTCCCTTCTCCAGACTAAACAAACCCAATTTTTTCAATCTTCCCTCACAGGTCATGTTTCTTAGACCTTTAATTATTTTTGTTGCTCTTTTCTGGACTTTCTCCAATTTGTCCACATCTTTTACTAATATGAAAACTATTACACATGCAAAAAGAAATGTTATGGACTTCCGTTCATCCTGGGCCAATCTTGCAGTCACCATCTGGGCAGTATTCCTATTGAAATCTATTATAATAACATAGGCCAATGTTTCAAAAAATATTTAGGTGCTATGGGTAAGATTTTTCACAGGCATCTCAGTGACTTAGGAATGCAAGTCTTATTGACTTCAGACTTAGCTTAATTTAAGGGACTTCTATTTTAGAACATGTTGGCCATCATTATTACACTTACTAGGTCAGTAAGTTCATTATCGCTTTAGAGATACGACGGCTTTCATAATAACTTTACTAACAAACTGTTAGTTTTCATAACATCTTCATATTTCTGTACACAATTGTAATATTTACTGTGCAAATTAATACCCAAAATCATCGCTATTTTAAAGGTCGTTTCTAACTGCAACTCAAGGGATTTATCTGCAGCATCATTTGTTGTTGTTTATATAGAATAATAACATTGTGGGTAAATTGCATAAGACAAGGTTTTGGTCTCAGAAATCATGGCTTCAGTAACACCCATTTTAAAATAGCACCAATAACATCAGATTCTAGGAAAGGCTGGGAAGGATGCAGGAGAAGAAAAAGGTGGATCAAAGTAATTTTTTCCCCCCAAAAAAAGAAAAAGAAAATTGGAGACAATTCAGTTATTAGTGTTGTACCAACCGTGGAGTGTTTCCTTCTCTCTCTAAGGATGTGGCACGCTGCTGCCAAGATCCCATTGTTAAAAACTGGACATTTCCTGTTGTGGTTCATTAACAAAACCAGAAAAAAAAATGTATCCCAGCACATAACCACATGGGTGACAGTAACCTAGCAGACAAATCTACCAGTAATAACTGCAGTTACAGTGTGAAAATCATGAGAGGGCGCACACAGCATGCATGCTGCTATGGAGAAGTTACCTATTCCGTTTCAGAGCACCATTGGTAGTTGACTTTTCACTGTGATGCATGGTTAGTAGATCTCTTTTTTCATTGCTATGTAAAGAATACTCAAGTCGGATTTATTTTAGCAAGTGAAGCAAAATGAAGTTGAAAGCTTAATGGCAGAAACAAGGCACACTCGTTTTTTGTCTGCTTGAAAGAATTTCATGAAAAAAGATGTTCCGTTTCCCTGGATACACCGGATGTAGTCTGAAACAGCTTTGATGAAATCATTTTTGCCTAACACGTTTTATGTCTTTAAGGTGGGGGGGGGGGAAAACCCAGCTTATTAACTCAGTAAACCAAAGGCACTTGTTTGTAGTTTTATTGTAAATGGATGGCTAATCTCATTTCAGATATATGAGGTGGGGGCAGAAACAGGCCTATTTAAATGATTAAATGCAGGCACCTTCCTTTGATGTTAGTACATTTGTATCTGTCAGATATTTTCTAACACACACATATAGATCTTGCAAATTTTATATTATTAAGGATAGAAACAAACCAAAACCATAGCTGTGAATACTTTTACAGTTTTATTTTTGGTGGGGAAGAGGGGTGCTCAAAGAACAGAGTGGATTTTGAAAATGGCCCCTCGCTTTCTAATGGATCTGAACCAAAAACCTGGTTCTAAATAATTCTGAACTCTGAAATGTTCAATATCTGGATTAAAGATTGATATCTATCTATGGTACTTGTATGAACTCCATTACCATAGCATCTAAGCGTCTCCCAGTCTTAAACTCACAGCCTGCCAGTGCTATTTGTCCCCATTTTACAGATGGGGAACTGAGGTATGGAGATTAAATTACTTGACCAAGGTCACATAGGAATCTGTGGCAGAGCAGGGAATTGAAGTGGAATATCCAGAGTCCCAGGTTAGCATCTGAATCACTGGACCTTCCTTAAACAAATCCCTCAGAAACCAAATGTGTTTCTCTGTGTTTATAATGCATATTTTATAAAATAACAACACATAATTCTAGCAGAGATTTGGAAACATTGTGTGAATAAAAAAATAAAATTCCTTATGCATTATTGTGACACACAAGTAAATATTTTTCCCATCAAAATTGTTTTTCAGCAGAAAAAAAATGGGGTTTTGACAAAATGAAATATTTTGCAAGAAGTGTCTGCGTTTCACAGAAAATTTAGCTTTTTCATCAAAATACACCTCTTCCCCAATATAACGTGACCCAATATAACACGAATTCGGCTAGAACGTGGTAAAGCAGTGCTCCAGGGGGTCGGGGCTGCGCACTCCGGTGGATCAAAGCAAGTTTGATATAACATGGTTTCACCTATAATGCAGTAAGATTTTTTGGCTCCCAAGGACAGTGTTATATCGAGGTAGAGGTGTATTGTGGCCAAAAAGTTTGGCTTTCATTCAAAATTTTCAGGTGAAAACTTCATGGGACAAAAAAAACACCCACACTTTTGGACCAGCTTGAGTTAAGCCACCTTCTCTCTGCCCCCCACCCCACCCACCCACTTAAATTGATCCAGAGAATCCAAACACCAAGGCCCTGATTCTACAACTTCACACAGGTGGACGCATGTGTCGATGCACAGCTCATTCATAAAGCTGTCCAGATGCCCTTAGATGTACATAAATCATCTAGGAGCCCACAGGCCACTTGCTTTTGAGATGTTTACCACTACATAGGACCCTGTTCTGCACTCCCTTACATTTGGTGTTATTAGTAACACCACTGAAGTCAATGGAATCAACAGGAACGTGCAAGAGGGAAGAAAATCTATTCTTCTTTGTCCAATATTAGGCAACTCTTGGCCTCTGCATCTTTGTATTTATTCTATCTGCTGTTGCCAATAACATTAGCCAGCAACTTGTCTTTGTTAGTTGACTGGCTAACGGCCACTGCATCTACGCAGTGCTGGAACTTGTTGTAACCTAACACGATCGCGTGGGCAGCTTTGGATCCAGTGCAGATATTACTGTAAAATGTACAGTATGTGGGCTCATATTACCTTGTCAGACAACCTTCTTTTCTCTGTTTGCACGGCACTTGGGACTCAGCTCCTTCTGCAGAGTTTGTGCAGGGTGTTATTTTTATGCACTAAATTCCTCCCAATCGGGGACAGGTCAATAGAGAACAGCGATCGAAAGGTCATGGGCCTAGCAGCGAACTAATCCCTGCCTCAGCGAGCTCTGCAGCTGTCACAACATCCAGCGAAAGTCGCTCAACAGACCAGAGAGGCTGTGGTGCACGACGAAAGCCCACGGTACCTGTTGTAAAGGCCGGGCAAACAGAAGGCATCTCACTGCTGGACATGAGGAGACAGAGTCTTTTTTTAAGCACTCAGCACTGGCAACTGGGGCCAAATTTCCAGACCACCACCACTGAGATGCCTAAATGGAAGCTGAAGCGGCCAGGTTCGCAGACACGCCCGGCCTTTGTTGTCAGTGGGCGCTGATGGGATGTGCTGAGTGTTTTGGAAAATCAAGCAGCTTCATGTAGGTGTCTAAACGGGAGCTGATGAGCACGGACTGCTTGGAAATCCAGCCCTATGATGGAAGCAAGCTGCG